ATCGCGTAGTACTGTTGCAGCGGAAGTTTTAATCTCAGGTCAGAGTGAATGTAAATGACTGAGTTGATAATAGCATGCATACATCGAGTTTATATAAGAGTACAAGGGAATACGAAAGGACCTAGACTAGCCATGTACTCTAAGGGGTACATTCCCTTATTACAACTCAAATAAAAACCGTGCGGCGCGGGAACCCGTTCAAAACCTGTTCCCGCTCTTTTCACTGTAAATGTTTCTGCCTGCATCGGTCTTGGTCTGACGGTTGCTGCGTCGCTTCGGCTCTTCTGACTCCTCAACTTCGTACTCGGTAGAGTCGGCTCCTGCAGCATACAGGAATGCCTTCTCATAAAACTTCACATCGTAACACTCCTCTTCATTCCTGGGCGCGGGTGGAGCTGACTCGCTTGACTACTCCGGTGAGATCAGAGCAGTGCTTATACTGCTGACGTGGCAGGCGCTTGGTGAGGAATTCTGCTGCCATCTCAGTGGTCGGGCAGTAAGCGAGGTCCACTTTGCCTTGGTCGATTTCGTCCTTGACGAAAAAGTACCGAAGCGCGATGTGCTTCGTGCGGTTCACGAATCCTGGCTTGTTCGCGATTTTGATGGCACTCTGGTTGTCGCAGTGAAGGCGAAAGGTAGGCGAGGTTGGAATTTTCGCCTCCTGCAGCAGCTCCTGCAGGTACAGGCCTTCGCGAACTGCTGCTGTCGCGACGATGCATTCTGCTTCAGCCGATGACAGGGCAACCAGCTCCTGCTTCTGGGAGTTCCAAGAGATTGGTCCAGCTGGTTCCAGGCGAAAAACGAAGCCGGTTCGGGACCGTCGATTTGCAGGATCCACTGCGTGGTCTGCGTCCACGTAGCCGTTGAGGTTGAAGGAGGTCGTCGTCAGCGTGGAGTAGGAGAGCCCGATGTCAGGTGTGGAGATGAAGTACTGCAGGGCGCGCTCCAGGTCCAGCTGGTTCTCAGCTACTAGCTTGCGAGAGTACTGCGCCAGTTGGCTAGCGATGTACGAAAGGTCGGGTCGGCAGGTGATAGAGGCAAATAGCAGACACCCCAACTTCTGCTGGTACATTTGGAGTCCTGCGGGCGACAGAGGTTTGTTGTCCGGTTTGTAGTTGGTGCTCGGGCTGCGGTAGGGATAGGCAGTGTGAGAGAGTGCGGCTGTGGGGCAGACAGTGCAAGTGGGTGGATGGGGGGTGGTGTGTTGTAACTCCGTCCCGTCGGGGCGCAGCAGTGCTCCTGGCGGAAAAACTTTTGCACGGAGGCAATTGGCGAGTGTCTGGCGCGAGGGGTGTCCCATCCGCTGGTGCTAGAGGTCATCCTCGGCACGGATGCCGGAGGTGCGCTTGTAGCGGGTGTGGTATTCTGCTGCCTCCTCCGCTATGAGTTCTGGGATCTGGAGAGGGGGTTCTTTCTCCTCTCTTGGTTTTGCTTCGTTGTTCTCCTCCTCTGCTTCTGCTTCTGCGATTGCTTCCCCTTCTGCAGGTGCCGTTGAGAGATACAGGGCGAGAAATTCGCGATCGGGAATGGTCGTGAGCGGGGTCGTGGTGCCTTCGATGAAGCGCGCGTACGGATCTGGGCGGGAGATTGGACCGAGTGAGTCTCGCGAAGGTGTTGGCGGTACATTACCCTCCTCAATCTCCCACCAGGGATCACGCCAGTGATGAGGTGAGCGAGGTGGTTCGTCAGTGCGAGGGGGTCGACCGAGGGGAATGGTTACTCGAGGTGATGCTTTGCCGCGCTCAGCTTGCATTTCTTGTTCAACTTCCTCCAATTCCTCTTGCGTGAGCTCCCCTTCGTCAGGCTCGTTGTTTCCCCATCCTCCTGTGGTGAGCGTGCTGGTTCCCCATGCTCCAGTTGCGGAACCCCAGGTTGCGCCTTCTTCTGGATCAGCGGGCTCGTTGCCCCATCCTCCGCGCGCAGAGTCGGGGTCCCATCCTGCCGCGAGGCGCTCCTCATACAGCTTCTGCCGCTTCTCCGCTTGGGCCTTCTCCTGTTCTTTTTTGACGCTCAGCTCCTCTGGTGCGTCAGGATCTTTCCAGGCAGGGTCGATCTCGCGGCGGTAGACTTCGCGAGTGTACGGGCGCGGACGTCCTTCTTCATCGAGAGTGCGCGTGTTGGCTTCGAGGACGAATCGTAGGGTGTCCGAGTAAGGCCTTGGTCTCTCCTGCTGTTCTTGGCCGAATTTCTTGCTTGGCTCACCGAATATGCGGTGTGATGATATGGCGAGTTCTTCTTCAGTCATGCCTGTTGGTTCTGTCTCAGCGCTTTCTGCTTCCTGAATTGCCGCTTGCTCCTTTTCCACTTGCTCCGTTCGACTTGCGGTTGGTGTGTGACATGTTGTGCACAGTCCGTGGGCATCAGGTTCATGAAGATTGATTTCACGCGGGTGAGGGCTTCAGCGATTCCATCCGGATGCTCCCAAGACTCCTTGTTCATGAAAGCGAACTCGAGGGGGACAAGATCCACGAGCTCGTCCGACGAGGCTTGACAGGGAGGTATGTCGAAGTCTAGGATATAGATCCCATTGATGGAGCGAGCTCGTCCGAGGTACTTGAATGCCTCGGGAGGAGTGTTCAGGGGAGCGTAGGTGAGGAAGAGATCGCGCGTCGCGAGGTCCGTGTGAATGATGACGCTGTAATCGCGGAGCTGTCCAGCGGAGAGCAGGTTGAAGCGCAGGTTCGGGATGTAGAGTACGTCGTTGAACGAGATGTGCGTGTTGCTATCTCGTGCTTGCAGGACGACAAGTCCTCGTGAGTTGGCGCGCAGCTGCTCGTTGTTGGCGACGGTGACATAATTTGCAGGGGCGCGACTTAGGTTAGAGACATAGCGCGTGGACCCCACCATGTGCTGGCCGCAGCAGCTGTCCAGGTACCAGGTGTTGTAATTGTCAGTGTTGTTACGGCGCAGCAGCAGCGCCAATCGTGGAGTTACCAGGGTGGTCTTGAAGCGCCTGTGGAAGTAAGGATCTTCGTCCTCCTTCCAGCCCACTGGTACGTGGTGCTGATTTTCGTGAGGCGGGCTTTCCCGCAGCGTGATTGGAAGGTTCCAGTCTTGCTCGTCTTCGTCGTGCAGGTAGTAGTGATCCTCGGTGAAGGGATTATTTTATCCCTCTTCTGGTTCCAGAAGTCTTCCTTGGACTTCGTTCTCCTCGTCAGGTTCAGTGGTGCGCCGGCGTCGTGTCGCCATGTTTGCGATGACATTCCTGGGAGCTCCTGACTGTGGTCCTTGATTTTGCTGGTGTTGCGCAGGAGAACGAGCTTGCTGATGCTGAGGTTGAGGATGACGAGCGTCTTGTCGGCCGACCCAGTTGTTGTGGTGAGTGGAATTTGGGTGGCGGTAGTTGGATCGGGATTTACATCGATCCGATGAGTGTTCGAAGACTTTGCATATTTTGCAGTAATGGCGCCTTGGTTGTCGTTGCTCTTCTCAGTTGTCCGTGTAGAAGGCGAGGCGCTCTCGGCGCGGCGCGGAGCTTGTTCTGCTCGAGTCCATATCCTGCTGTTCGGATAGGAGTGCGGCGCATAGCGCAGCTTCTGAAATTGTTCCTCGCTGTCGGAGTAACGCCTTGCAGGGCTTCCACTCGGGCCCGAGTCCTTGAAGGACTATATTGACGAAAATCTCTTCTGAGATCGTACTCCCATGATTCGTGATCTGGTCACGGGTGTTGCGACAGCGGTTAATATATGGATTTGCCTTCTCCACGTGCCCCATCTTTATCTCCAGGAGTTGCTGGAGAAGCCTGCTGGCGGTGACCGAATCCTTCGTCTGGTAAACTTCAACGAGGTGCTTCCAAGCTTCCACTGCTGGAGCGTCGCTCTCTTTGTAGGAGCATATGTTGAGTTGTTCCGCAGGCGTCATGTTGCGTAGCAGCACACTGTAAGCCATGAGGGACTCACTGTAGTACTGAGCCCTGGCGACGTCGGTGTTTTCCACCGGTTTAAGGTAGGAGCCGTCGAAGTAATGGTAGATCTGCGCCGTTTGTAGGAGGAGCTCCAGCTCAAAACTCCATGTGTAAAAATCCTTGCCGTCAAACGCGGCAGTAGTCTTAATCTTTGAAACGTTGAGGAAGCGTGTTTGCGCAGAGTTGATAGCCTCATCACTTGGACGGGGGGCAGTTGTTGCTGATTTGTCTGTGTCGAGGGAGAAGGTGTGCGCGGCAGTATCACGGCTTTTCTCAGCCGGTTGTCCAGGTTGTGCTGGTTGGGAAGAGATTCCTGCATCGCCTTTGCGCAGTTCTTGGAGTTCTTTCTCCATAGTTGAAAGTCGAGCGAAAGGTTGCTCGAGGGCGGTAGTGCCGATCGTGGTTGTCGCCTCACTTGTCGCAGCTGGATTGGGTTGTCCTTCAGTCGTCAGATTTGCTTGGCCTCCGGATCCTCCGGCCATCTTGGTCTTGGAGCGTGTGCCGCTCGCCAGGTCTTGATTCGGCGAATTTCACGGAAGTGAAGTTGCGAAGAATCACTGAGTAGCTCTCATACCATGTTACAATCCCAAGTGGGACTTAGCGAAGGATCGCTCTGGGTTGATCGTGTAGTAGTGTTGCAGCGGAAGTTTGAATCTCAGGTCAGAGTGAATGTAAATGATTGAGTTGATAATAACATGCATACATCGAGTTTATATAAGAGTACAAGGGAATACGAAAGGACCTAGACTAGCCATGTACTCTAAGAGGTACATTCCTGTCAGAATGAGGAATGGATGTTCCATTGATGTTGGTTGGGGTACATATAACAAACCCTAACTTTTGTACCCCCTAAGACAAACCTCACTACAGGCTACAACATTTGACACACCCCCATAGCCTAAGTGAGGGGTGTCTAGCAAAAACAAAAAAAAAAAAGAGTACGGTCACAAGACCAGTCCAAAAGAAAACAAAGCTCAGGGTGGATCACAACGTCACCACACACTCTGAGCACAAGCAACAGTGGCCACAAGGCCAGTCCAAGAGATCACAAGTATATATAGTAAGTGTACAGATGAAGCAGGCAATAAACTCAAGTCTACGCATGACTAGAACCTGTGTCAACAAGGCCTAACTGCACACAACACCTCTGGTGGTCACAAGGCGGAAGCGCCTTGGTGAAGATGTCTGCAGTGTTGGCCTCGGACTCTACAAACTCGAAGCGAGCCTGTCCACGCCTCTGCAACTCTCGCAGAAGAAAGTACCTGACGTGAATGTGCTTCACTCTGCTCTCCAATCGCGGCTCACGACAGAGGAGGATCGACGCCTTGTTGTCAGTAAACAAGGTCGGTGCAGAGCTCGGCCGCTCACCAAGGTCAGTGAGCAAGAAGGTCAACCACCGCAACTCCTGTGCCGCCATGGCACCAGCGTAAATCTCAGCCTCAGCTGTAGAGGTCGAGACAGAAGAGGAGCGCGTGGAACGCCAGGAAACAGCTCCAGAACCCAGACTGAAACAGTACCCCTGAGTAGACCTGTGAGTCTCAGCGTCGTCAGCGTAAGAGGAGTCACAGTGACCAGTGAGTACGACAGACTGCTGCCCTCCAAGAACTAGCCCCACGCCTGATGTAGTCGCTAGGTACTTCGCCACCCTCACAGCTGCCGTCCAGTGAACAGGACGGTGTCTCCCTGGCGCAACAAAGCGCGCAAGGATGCTGAGAGGGAAGGCGAGGTCCGGGCGAGTACAAGTCATCAGGTACATGAGGCAACCCACAAGCTCTGCGTAGGGACCACTAGGCTCAAACGGCTCGTCAGGAAAGGGACCAGTGAGTCTGTGGTCAACAGCTAGAGGTGTGCGCTGTACGGTGGAGGGCTGAAGCCCGAACCGCTGAAGGACCTGCTGCACCATGTGTGACTGTGAGAGTGTACTGGTGCGAGCGGCTCTGTCCCTGGTGATCTGCAGGCCAAGGTAGTGGCGCAGCTCACCAAGATCAGTGCACGTGTGTCTCTTCTGCAGTTCGGACTTCACGTCTGCCAAAGCAACCCTGTCCGAAGTGGCGAAAACGAGGTCGTCGACGTAGACCAGAACAAAGAACGGTGTGGAGCCACGACGAACGAACAGCGACGGGTCGGCAGAAGACGGCTGGAACCCAAGGTCAGAGAGGGTAGAACGCAGAGTGTCGTGCCACTCACGAGGGGCCTGGCGAAGACCGTAAACAGGTCGCCTCAGCCTCCGCAGGGTTCCAGGAGGGAAAGTGCCAGTGAAGGCCGAGGGACGACGCAACCAGACCTCCTCGTGTAGACTGCCCTGAAGGAAAGCAGTGGAGAAGTCAAGAGAGTGTAACTCGTAGTCTCTCTGTGCTGCTACGTGTAGTAACACCCGAAGAGTGGTCATCTTCGGGGTAGGTGCGAAGGTCTGAAAGAAGTCAACTCCCTCGCGCTGACTGAAACCTCTAGCCACGTAGCGCGCCTTGAAGACCGGGGGAGATCCCGGTGGCCGCTTCACCCTGTAGATCCACATGCCGTCGACTACGTTCGCCCCAGGGGGGGGAACCTCATCGACGTAGGGGCCTGTGGATCTGTAGGAGGCCATCTCTGCGTCCATGGCAGCTCTCCACTGAGAGGCCCAAGGCCCTAACACTGCCTCAGCGTAAGTGCGAGGAGTCGGAATGTCAAGGGCGTCGGGGTCACCCTCAGGGGCGAGGAGCATGGCACAGAGATGAGGGGAAGCGGCCGCCAAGAACTCTAGCTCAAACTGCCTGTCCTCTAGGGCGTCACAGCCAAGGGCACACACACCCCCGACGACCAGAGGACTGGTAGGAGGAGCAGTCACAAGTGTGGTGGCGTAGTCAAGGCGGCGGGTAGAGGCAAAGTCAGTAACCGCGGCAGTAAGAGCGGACACAGAGGACACAGAGACACGAGGGTGAGTAACAAGAGAGGCGAGAACACGAGAGAGAACAGGACGGTACATGCGGTAGTAGTCAGTGACATGAGTAGGGAGCGACACAGTGAGGGCCGACTCAGGAGGAGACGGAAGCACAGACTGAGACGGACGAGGTGGACTAGAAAGAAGGAAGGCAGTACGAAGGTCAGTGAAGGGAACAGGAGACGAGGGACGAGCACGAGGGGAGCGACGAGTAGCCCAAGAACGAGACGGAGGAGAAGAGGACAAGGGTGGAGAACTGGGGAAAACAGCGGGGGAGGAGTCAGGAGGAGGAAACGTGGGACCGTAGACAGGAGGAGAGGCGGAGGAGGGAGGAGAAGGGGAGGGGAGACCAAGGATCCGAAGACCCGAGACAGGAGGAGGAAGTGGCTGCTGCTGCTGCGGCTGCGACTGCTGCTGCTGCGGACGCGGCTGCTGCTGGGACTGCTGCTCCTGCGGGTCCAGCTGCTACTGCGGCTGCTGCTGCTCCTGCGGCTCCAGCTGCTGCTTCTGCTCCTCCAGCCGCTGTAACTCCCTCTCCTCTCTCTCCAACGCCAGCTGCTCGTCACGGGCACGGCGAACACGAGCCTGGTGCCTAGTCGGGTAGGGGTGGGGGGGTGGAGTAGTGTCCGAAGCAGCGGCAGCTCCAGAGTCCACCTCAGAAGAACTAGGCGCACCACCCCCAGAGGCAGCACTAACACCAGCTCCAGAACCAGGCTCACCTGAACCCGAAGGAGGCGCACCCTCACCCCCAGACGCAGCACCCCCAGTGTCCGCGCGGCCAGCACCAGCTACCGGACGACAAGAGTCCTCTGCACCCACCGGGTCAGCTCCAACTCCAGAACCAGAAACTCCAGCTCCAACCCCAGCTCCAACTCCAGCACCCCCAGAACCAGAAACTCCAGTGCCAACTCCAGCTCCAACTCCAGCTCCAACTCCAGCACCCCCAGAACCAGAAACCGGTACAGGAACAGGCGCCGCACCAACCTCTCGAGAGCTAGCACCAGCGGCACGCTGCGAGGAGGACTGTGGGGAGGGAGGCTGTACCGGAGGGGCTACCGAAGGAGGAGGGGTAGCCTGGGACACACCTGACGGGGCTGGACCAGGGGGGGGAGGCTGTACCGGGGGAGCAGGAGGGGGAACGGCAGTCAGGAAGAGGGGGGGAGGAGGAACCGGGAGACCTCGACTGGGGTACCTGACGTAGTACGGAGTGGACTCCTCGAAACGGACGTCACGGGAGTCAAAGAACCGGTGAGAGGGAGGGTGGTAAAAGGTGAAGTCAGAGGAGTCCTCAGGGAAACCAAGGAAGACACAGGGGACGGCACGAGGCGAGAGCTTGTCCGCGGAGGTGTCGCGGACAAGAGCCAAGCACCCCCAGACACGAAACCGCGACGCAACACGAGGGGACCCTGTCCAAAGACTGGTCGGTGAAACCTCTGGTCGAGAGACACGTGGCCAGAGGTTCAGCTGGTGCGCGGCGTACCTGACCGCGTAGGGCCACAGAAAATGGGGGGCACAGGCGTGAGTCAGGGAGGTGCGGGCGATCTCCATGACCAGGCCTATGCGGCGCTCAGCAACCCCATTCTGCTGTGGGGACTCTGGAAGCGTCCAGGACTGACGAATGCCCTGCTCGCGACAGAATCCAGCGAGAATGCCGGAGCGAAACTCACCCCCAAGGTCGGAGTGGAGACAACTGACACGACGACCACGAGTGTCCTCAGTGGTGAGCAACCACCTGATCAGCGTAGAAGTCACCTCAGACTTCTTCGCCAGAGGGAACACTGTGGTGTAGCGGGAGAAGTCGTCAACTACCACCAGAAAGTAACGCTCACGCTCAGGGCCTAGACGAGGGGCTGGGCCCCAGACGTCCAAGTGAAGCGTCTCAAAAGGCTCGGTGGCCGGACGAAGGGAGGAGGAGTGAGGGGTGGTGCGCAGCCTACCCTCGACGTAGGGACGACACGGCGGCGCAGGCGAAGGCGGCAGCGACGGCAAGACACGTGGGAGGCCTAGGACAAGACGCTGACTAGACATAGCGCGCAGACGTGGAAGGGACGGGTGCCCCATCCGGTGGTGCCACAGAACGGTGGGGTGGGCAAGCGACCGGCAGGAGCACGACGCAGCGACTGGAACAGACGTAGGAACCTGACACGACACAGACACCTGGGGGGACGTAGCAACCTGGTGAGACGCGGGGACCCGAACGGGGGGGGGAAACCGGGGGCAGTGGCAGTAGGGGGGGTTGCTGGTGCGGCCGCTGGTGCTGCTGCTGCTGCTGCTGCTGCTGCGGCTGCGGCTGCTGCTGCTGCTGCGGCTGCTGCTGCGGCGCACGCGGGCCAGTGTGAAGAGTGTAGAGACCCGAGCCCGGCTCAACAGTTAAGGTAGCAAGAGGCTGGTAAGAGTCTCCGTCAACACACACCGCAGTCTCTCCAGAAGGCTCAAACCACACACCCACGTGCTGACTCACGAGGGGTCGCACGCCCACCAAGTTCCGGGAGAACGAGGGGACGTGAAACCCAGTGAGAGACCTGGAGGGAGCAGCAGGACACGGTAAAGTGGTAGTGTGACGTGCAGTGACTGGTCCCGTAGTGGGATCAGCCAACGCTACAGAAACAGGCGTAGGAAGTGGTGTAAGTGTCGTGCTGTCCCGAAAGAAGCAGTGGGAGGCTCCAGAGTCCAGTGTGAACGACAGCGAAGTGTCCTCTGAGGTAGTCGCTGGTCTAGAGTCTACACAAGTACCTACACTAGCAACAGGCAACTGAGCAAGACTAGCACCTAAGCTAACAACACCAGAGTAAACACAGTCAGAAACACTAGAGTCAACAACAGCATACATAGCATGAGGAGCACTAATCAGATCAACTAACTGCTCAGCAGACATGCCCCACAGAGCGGAGCCGTAGCGCTGAACCAGAGGAAGCCAGTCAGGAGCAGGACCGCCAACCCCGTAGGTCAACCGGACCGTGTCAGTGAGCTGAGCAAAGCACTGACCAGGGGGGTGAAAGCGGCCACAAGGGTGGCCCCGACGAGGACCTGTCTGAACCTGGTAGGGGCAGGGAGGGTAAGCAGCACCGCGCTGGGGCTGACGCAGCCCCGACCCCGGAGCCAGCTGCTGACGCTGCTGCTGCAGAGGCTGCTGGGAGGAAAGGGGCTGCTGCTGCTGCTGAAGGTGCTGCTGACGCTGAGCCTGGTACCACGCCGCTGCTCCACCTAGCGGGGCCGGCAGTACAGGAGGCGACTGACGAGCTCGAGGGTCGCCGCCACCAGCAGGTGCAGTGGAGTCACCAGCCGCTGCACGAGGGGTCTCTCCAGACGCTGCACTCCCACCACCGCCAGTCGCAACAGCACCCCCACTACCTCCGCTACCTCCGCCTCCACCTCCACCGGAACCACCTTTCTTGCCCCCCCTGCCGCGGGACCGCGACGCAGTCGTAACAGCAGCCGCAGTCGCGTCAGTAGCGGCAGTGGCAAGAGAGGCAGTGAAGGTGGGTAACTGCGGGACTGTGCACCCGTGGAAGAGTGGGGGGGACACAGTACCAGAGGCGGCAGCTACCGAACGAAGGTTGCTCTCGACGTCCTTGAGTGCAGACTCAAGGACCTCGATAGTCAGCTCACTAGGGTGCTTCAGCAGAAGCGCGTCACGAACGGAGGCAAGGCGGTCAGGGAGGCTAGTGGCGATGAAATAGACAGTAATCGCCATGGGGGGAGGAAGCAGTGCAAGCTGTGCCTCAGTGCAAGCAGCGCGGTAACTAGCGTCGAGCGAGCGGAGGTGAGCGATCAAGTCAGCAGAGCGCTCAAACAAGGCAAGATCAGGAAACAGGAACGGGAGGAAAAGACGGCCGAGAGAGACAGTAGCGGGAGTAGAGTAGCGGGCCTTCATCGCAGTGAGGTACGCAGCAGCGGTGCGAACCTGAGTAAAGTGGACCTCCTCGGACTCAGGGAGGAGGCTGCTGAGTGCGATGCAGGCCGCAGCGTCACGCGACGTCCAAGCCGTCCGGTCAGCGCGCTGACGGGCAAAGCGAGCCGTAGCAGCGTCGTTAGGAGCAGGGCCTAAAGCTGTAGGCTCGGGGGGCTCGGGGAGGTCACCAGTAGCGTGTGACCAGAGGGTCTCGCCCCCCTGGACCTGACTCTCTAACAGACGACGAGCGCGAAGAAGCCAGACGGAAAAGTCAAGGGGTCTACCGTCGGCGTCGAAACGAAGAACTCGCGGAGTCGCCATAGGGAGAACCAACGCGAACGAACAGGCGAGTAACAACCGGGGGGGAAGAGGACTCAGTCGCAGCGGAAGAGCGGGCTAGGGCGACGGGCCAAGACGTAGGGTAGGGCAACGGGCCAGGGCCTAGGGTAGGGCGACGGGCCAGAGCCTAGGGAGGGCGACGGGCCAGGGCCTAGGGAGGGCGACGGGCCAGGGCCTAGGGAGGGCGACGGGCCAGGGCCTAGGGAGGGCGACGGGCCAGGGCCTAGGGAGGGCGACGGGCCAGGGCCTAGGGAGGGCGACGCGACGGGGGAAAGGGCGGGAGCGACGCGACGGGGCAGGGCGACGCGACGGGACAGGGCGACGCGACGGGGCAGGGCGGCGCGACGGAGCAGGGCGACGGGACAGGGCAGGGCGACGCGACGGGGTAGGGCGACGCGACGGGACAGGGCGACGGGACAGGGCAGGGCGACGCGACGGGACAGGGCGACGGGACGGGGGGGGTAACAGGCGGGCGCGACGCGACGGGGGGGAACGGGCGCGACGCGACGGGGGGAACGGGCGCAACGCGACGGGGGGAACGGGCGCGACGTGACGGGGGGAACGGGCGCGACGCGACGGGGGGGAACGGGCGTGACGCGACGGTGGAGATGGCGCTAGGCTCGGTACTAGGCGCGGTAACAACGAAACTGGTACGAACGAGAGGTAGGATCAGGCTCGGGAGGTACGAACGGAGAACGGAGGAACGGGATCCCACAGGATCCTAACCTAGCTGATACCATGTCAGAATGAGGAATGGATGTTCCATTGATGTTGGTTGGGGTACATATAACAAACCCTAACTTCTGTACCCCCTAAGACAAACCTAACTACAGGCTACAACATTTGACAATTCCCTTATTACAACTCAAATAAAAACCGTGCGGCGCGGGAACCCGTTCAAAACCTGTTCCCGCTCTTTTCACTGTAAATGTTTCTGCCTGCATCGGTCTTGGTCTTGTTGGAAACAATAAGTCCTAAGTGCGCTTCTGTCGTATCAAAACCCAAGGCACCAAGAGAAGCAGTCCCAATCGAAGCATCGAGTCAACCTCGGAGGTTAGGGTAACCGCCTGGAGGTTACGAGAAAGTCAAAGGTCGCTGACCTTTGACTCGACAATTACAGCGCGACAGTTAAGGACACACAACTGACTCGTTACAGAGCAGTTGCCCGAGTCGCACTGTATCGAACCGCAACAGCAATACAGTTATCTACATATCTATTCGTATTCCCTGTACTCTTATATAAATCCTTGTATTTGCTTGTTTAATTCAATCAACTTTGCTCTCACACACCAGTGCAAGGTCGGTTCAAATTCTTCACTAAACGCTTCCGCTATTACAACTACTTCACCTAGAGTTATCCCTTGCAAAGATCCTAAGGGGCTATCTCAGCCCAACATGGTATGAGAGCAGACAAGGGAAACTCTACTCCTTTTTCAAGATCATTACAAGACATGGCAACAAACAAGGAAAGGAGCTCCCCTAATGGCTCCTCGGGCACTACTCCTACTCCACCGCCAGCCTCTGGCCTGCAGACAGAAGAAGGCACGGCAACAAGACCAAGAGGAACGTCAACCGAGACCCCCATGAACCACCCTTCGGACTTTGACCAGAACATGATGGAGAAATTTTTCTCCTTCATGTCCTTCTACGAACAACACCAGCAGTCGGGACCTGCACAAACACACAACAGCAACAACGGAGCGACACCCATGAGTCTTGATGGGTCGTCATATGCGCGAGGAAACCAGCAGCAGCAACCTACCTTTGCTCCGTACGAGCGCGGGTCAATCAGCTTCGTGCCCCACCCGCAACCTTCACCTGGACAAGAAAGACCACTGGACGCACTTCAAGTTCAGTCGCAGTTTGCACACGTCTTAAAACTGCAAACGTCAAGACCCTTCGACGGCAAAGACTTCTTTACCTGGTCCTTTGAATTCGAGCTGATGATGGAGGGCGCGCAGATACTCGGCTTCTTCGACGGGTCCCTGCAGTATCCAGCCAACGGGACACAATATGAAAAGCAGCAGTATACGTATCAATCAATGATGGCGTATACAATCCTATTGAGGAACGTGACACCAACTCAGCAGCAGAACATTCGCTCTTACCGGACCTTCGGCAACTCGGCGGAGCTCGCGTACAGCCATCTGAAGAACCTGTATCAAGCAACAGACAGTGTAAACCAGAGCAGGTTGATGGCGCAGTTGACGACAGTCGAAATGAAACCAGGAGAAAAAGGACTGGCGTATATCAGCCGATGTCGCAAACTGCGCGACAAGCTGCTTCGATGCGGAGGGTCAATCTCTGAAGACGCCTTCGTGACAATCATCATTGGTGGGCTTGGTCCTCAGTGGCGCGCCACCAAAGCCATTCTTCGAGCCCACGGAAGAATCTCTGAAGCTGCACTCTGCGCCGAAATACATGCCGAGCAGCAAGATATGGACCTGCAGGAAGAACGACACAGGAAGAAAACGACAGTATCAGAGTTCGCATTCCACACTCAACGACGACACAGCAATTATAACAACCGACAGCAGCAACCGAAGATAGTACCTCCTTTCTGCCACATCTGCAAGACTTCAGGGCACCCGCGCACACACTGCCCGAATCGTCAGCAATCAACGGCACCACAGCGACAACTTCGACCTTCAAGCTCCCAAATGGCTTCAACACAAGCAAGTGCGACGACCACTATTCAAGCTTCAACGACTTCACCCGGACAACCTGCACGAGGAGCAAGAAATATAATCAACTGCATGACGAAGATAACCGATTCGTGTACGACCGAATCACCACC